TTGTTATGCCATCTTATGTTTTGATGGGTTGATCCATATCTTCACCCTTTGGCTAGCCCCTTAGCAACCGCCCCTCCCCCCGATACAGAGATAGGACAACATCATTGCTCCCTAGATTCCTTTCTCCTCTCCTGTTGGACAACATTTAGAGTCCTGCTGGCTGTACAGTGGTACCTCGGGTTACATACGCTTCAGGTTACAGACTCCGCTAACCCAGAAATAGTACCTCGGGTCAGTGGCGTAGCGTGGGGGGTGCAGGGGGGGCCGGCCGCACCGGGCGCAACATCTGGGGTTAGGGCAAATCCACGGGTTAGGGGGCGCAAATTACTTGCCTTGCCCAGGGTGCTGACAACCCACGCTACACCACTGCCTCGGGTTAAGAACTTTGCTTCAGGATGAGAACAGAAATCGTGCTCCGGCGGCGCGGCAGCAGCAGGAGGCCCCATTAGCTAAAGTGGTGTTTCAGGTTAAGAACAGTTTCAGGTTAAGAACGGACCTCCGGAATGAATTAAGTACTTAACCTGAGGTAGCACTGTAGAGGAGAATGGCCTACAGTGGATACTCTCCTCAAATCACCACAGCTTATTGAAAATATTGTAGTTCAATCGTACTCATTGTTACTCAGAAATAGGTCCCCCTATGTTTACTGGGACTTACTTTTGGATTAAGTGTATATAGGACTGTAGATTACTTTTATATTCGTTTTAGATTCAAATGATTTTTCGAAATTGCTTTCCTATTTCCTTCTGGGTAGCATATGCTCTCCTACTGCATCGGTGCAGAAAACCCTGTGCAACAGCTCCAAAGGCCATCATTTGTACGCAGTACGCATTTTCTATAGGTAGTGACTGGACCAAGTTAAATCCAACATAAGTTAGGGATTTATCAAAGCCCTGCTACTCCTGCGTTGTTGTTTTTCAGGTCTGGTCCCACAAATCCTCTAAACATTTAGCCCAAAGCTACACTGTAGAGCCCGAGTATTCCAAAGATGTAAATTTAAAATCGCGTCAATCAGTCAAATGCAAGTCTTTTCCTGGTTGAGCAGATCAACTTGAATCTTACCCTAAATCTTGAATGAACACTGTATTAATCACGGTACAGTAAACACAACAATACATTTGGGATAGAGGAAAACAGTAAATGTTACGGGTTAACACTCACGGCAAAAGGCTGAGGTCTCCATCTTAGCTAAAGCTAGTTGTGTTTAAGTACAATTGAAATCAATGGGATTTAAATTAACCACTAACATGTAATTGAGGCTTAAGCATAAACTAAATTTAGTTAGCTCAATTAGGGTCTGATTATCTAAAAATCCTTATGCCTACACAGTGAGTCTACACTCCTTCTTCTAGATAGTTTCTTTTAAAATGCTCCCAACTTACAGTTAATTAAAGAAGAGAAGGCTGTCAAACTGAAACATTTCCTTGGTAGTGCCTCTTAAAGATGGTGTGAGCACTTTGGAAAAGTAGATGTTAAATATTGATCAGTGCTGCATGTATTTCACATGAGTCCTTCCAGCAGGTACAAACAGGTTGCTGTCACTCTACCAGCTATTTATTTTGACTTCAATGTTGATTTATCCCGCTCTCCATAAATCCAGAGGTAAATAAGACTTGTATTTAATTTTATTTTTCACAACTGAGCAGGCAGAGAGAAAGACAGAAGGAAATAGTTTTAATTCCACCTTCTTTGTTCAAAATGTAAGCCTGCTAGTCAAAAGTTACATTCCTTCTCACCAGTATACAGTAGTACCTTGGGTTACATACGCTTCAGGTTACAGACTCCACTAACCCAGAAATAGTACCTCAGGTTAAGAACTTTGCTTCATGGTTAAGAACAGAAATCGTGCAGCGGCAGTGCAGCAGCAGCAGGAGGCCCCATTAGCTAAAGTGGTGCTTCAGGTTAAGAACAGTTTCAGGGTAAGAACGGACCTCTGGAATGAATTAAGTACGTAACCAGAGGTTCTACTGTAAAACTTGCCCAGTGGTCTTACTGCCATGTTCCCCTTTCTAAGCTTAAATTTCAGACAATAGGCATAAATTCCTGAGAGTTTAAGGTAGTGCCAGTGGGGAACCAATAGTAATAGGGTAAGGACATTGATGACATTATTCACATTTAGTGTTTAAAGCCCTAAACAACTTTGGCCCCAAACTTCCTGTAGGCCCACCTGGTTGTTAAGATCTCAGAGGGGACTGTCTTGGTAGCCCCTTCTGCCTTATTAGATGTATGGGGTGGTGGCAATGTGGGAGAGGGCATTCTCTGTGGCAATCCCTAAGTTGTGGAATTTCTTCCTCATGAGGTGCATCTGGCATCTACACAATGCAGTTTTTGGATAATGCTGAAGACACACCTCTTTACCCTGGCCTTTGACACCTGAGGCAGCTTAGGTCCAAGTCATCTGAAAGACCATATCCTCTAATGCGAATTTGCTTGGGTTTTGAGATCTTCAAGGGAAGCTCTTCTCTCAGTCCCACCATCCTCACAGGCACACTTGGTGGGGACACCAGAGAAGGCCTTCTCGGTGGCTGCTCCCAGACTCTGAAACTCCCTCCCTACAGAGAAGCTAGACTGACTAGCTTTTGTTGCACTATAATACCAGAGTATCCTTCTCCTCCTGCCCCTGCGAACATGACAATAACGCAATAACACTGCGGAAGCATCACAGAACAATGAACAAAGTGGAATGATGTGTGGATGATCCCACTACTAATGCACAATTATTGTGTCAATGAGATGCTGCAGAATATATCTGCGAAAACAAACATGCCCACCAGTCTGAAGAGACCCTTTAAAGGGTTGTGATATGCAGTTCACCATCCAAACTGTAATTAGGGAACTAAAAAGCACCTCGATCCTTTAGTATGGTTCAGCTCATCAAAATCTAAAAATCTGTCCCATATTTCTCTTTCTTTTATCAACTACTGGCTTTGTGCAGCAGGCCCTATATTTTAAAATCAAGCTAATTCCCCAGATACATTTCCATGTAAAATCTGAAATTCCTAATTTGGTTCCCTATCTTGCGTGGTGAACTAAATTATTTTCACGAGCCCTTCAGGGCATATTGTCAGCACTGACTTGCTGCAGTTATGCACCATATCCCAACCATTAACATCGCTTCCAAATATAGTGTATTGACAAGGTACCTGGTACAGTGTAAATCCTAGGGACATTTGATCCAGATCGTTAAAACCGAGTGAAGGAAGCAAAGAACAGATCAGGTTACTAATTCAAACAAGCAATGAATTATTCATTCCATTATTAATTCGACAGGCCTCCAGCTATTTTTTCCCTCTCAGATAGGCTGCATTGAGTATACTTCTGCTGTTTTCTGGCACTGGGTCCATTTGTCTCTTCATAGCTGTGTCAAAGGATGCAGCAGATGCTTCTCCAACACCTTGTGACAATAACTTTCTTGTGCGCAGCGAATGGGATAAACGCCAAGAAAGGTAAGGTAAGGCATTTGGGGGCTGTGTTCTGGGCCCATTTGCAAAATCGTGCTTCTTTTTTTAAATAGACTGCCTTTGCTTTGCTTCCCATGATCATGTAGGGTACTAACTCTAGAACATCAGTTGTCATTGTGCACTTGCAATGTGCTGTGTACTGATGGTGCTTCTTTTACAAATCTTTCAGTAATCTGCTCCCTGTATACACTGCATATTTTTTTAAAGCTAGGGCTTCCTTGTAACCCTGCCTCAATCAGATGCATACATGGATCTCTTGTACGTAGGATGCCCATAACTCATGTAATGGAAGGAGCGGGTCCAAATGGGCAAAGGAAGTGTGGGATCAAGCTTCCTCCACTGGAATTAACATAGAACGGTATACATCTCTGAACTCTTGCATCCACAAGTATTTTCTGGATCAGGTTGACAGGGTGGAAGCTTCAAGTCACCCAATACCCCTACTGAGAAGAATGGGTCTGCTGCAGCAGTGTATGTGCTTTGAGGAGAACAACAGAAGGCAAAGATTTGTTGATTTCAATAGAGCTGTACATATGGAGATGTTTTTGTGTGCTTAGAACCATGTGTATAGCGGTGTGCTAGAACAGTATTTTTCATTCTTTCTTTTCAATTATCACTGTAGGCATATTAACAAGTTTAGGGGCAACTGGAAGGTCCAGTTGAGCAGGGTTAAAGTTCTTAGTGAGAAGCTGAAATTGTGTGAAGAAAGACAGAGTGACTAATGCTTTCCAATGGATTCTATTTCTAAATTCTATGGACCTGCAGCTGCATTTGAGAAGAAGATACTCAGTTTTGAAGTAGACCTTCCTCCTCCTTACCACTTAATTTCAGATTTTAAAACAATGCTATTGTCAATTTAGGTACGCTTCCCCCAATCTTGACCAAAGTTTTTGTTTTCTTCCATTCAGCTCCATAGCTTTCTGCAGCTATGATCTTCACCACACGCCCAGATTCCCTCCAAAATGAGCTGGGCAACAGAACCTTGCTAGATATGCTGCATATTCCAGTGAAAGATAATATGAAATTATTCATTCTTTTAGATTTATGCAGGAATGAGATGCTTTCCACTGTGTATAACTATGGTCTAAACCACAGAGCCTCTTGGGCTTGCCAATCAGAAGGTTGGCGGTTCGAATCCCCACGATGGGGTGAGCTCCCGTTGTTCGGTCCTAGCTCCTGCCCACCTCGCAGTTCGAAAGCACGTCAAAGTGCAAGTAGATAAATAGGTACCACTCCGGCAGGAAGGTAAACAGAGTTTCTGTGCGCTGTGTGCCAGAAGCTCCTTAGTCATGCTGGCCACGTGACCTGGAAGCTGTCTGCGGACAAACGCCAGCTCCCTTGGCCTATAGAGCGAGATGAGCGCCACAACCCCAGAGTTGTCCACGACTGGACCTAATGGTCAGGGGTACCTTTACCTTTAAGCTTTATGTAGTAAAGGAATGTATATGATGCTGGCTTACGTTATCTATCTACTAGCTGTAGATCTTGCCCTGTGGTCCATTATAGTGTCTGATAACAATGCATTACACACTGATTGTAAAAGGTTAGGAAGGACAGAGGATTTCTTTGCCTGTGGCAGTTATTTAGATTTTATTTGAGTCTGCCTAGTCTCAGAAATTCTTGAGCGGATTACAGTTCATGTAAAGCATGTAAAATAACCAACTAATATTAGCAAAATGGGCAATAATACTACATTGTAGTGTGTTGAGTCACTATCTGGACACACATCAAACTGTTCACAAGATTGGTTCAATATGTCTTAATTGACTTCAACAAGCAAAGATGGTCAAATGAATGCTCCTTGGGTAAGCAGGAGAAAGGCATTAGGGAGAATGGCATTGTGCAGAAGAAGGAAAGACAAAGCCACATTCAGAAATAAATTTTGGAGTTTTGGGGTGGGGACTTACACCGTTATATATTTCTTCAAGTTGTTGCTTATAGATACAGTAAGCTACAGTGGCTGCTTAGTCAAAGTTGACCTTCAAATGTTTATGTTTTCTGTAGGCATCAAATGTGGTGGTGTCCTCTCAGCGCCACATGGCAATGTCTCAAGCCCGAATTTCCCTGGACTCTACCCATACGATACAGATTGCATGTGGCTCATAGTGGTAACAGAAGGGTCCTCTGTTCTTCTCACCTTTCATCACTTTGACTTGGAATACCATGACAACTGCGAATTTGACTACCTCATGATTTACAACGGGATCTCGGAAGACCAAGGCAATCTCCTAGGAAAATTCTGTGGCACAAGTTTTCCCTCCACCATTTACCTCATCTTGGAACATCATGACTGTAATATTCCACTCGGATAACCATGTGGCCAGCCAGGGATTCTCTGCAGTTTACCAAAAAGGTTAGAATGGGATTCAGTTGCAGCTTCTCTACGAAAGAGAGAATTGTTTATTTATTCGAACTATTTCTATGACGTCTTTCTTGCAACCTTCACAAGGTGATATACAAAAAATACATCAACATTACATTAAAACGTATTTACAGAAAAGAAATGTCAGTCAACATTATCACAGACCATGTATATGTCATGCTGTGTTGTACATCAGGGGACACAGCACCACCTTACAGATTCAGAGCCTCTTAGGAGGAATAAGCCTTTACAAGAGTGGAGCTCTAGGGAAAATTCTGCAGCAAGTACAATGTCTAAGCTGGCCAATAGAGCTGAATCTACTCATTAAGGCACAAGGCAAATCTGTGATTATAAAGACAGGCGGGGGTCAATACCACTTTGGGCAATCAAAACAAACAACGTGAGAGCTAGTGAAGGAAAAGAACAGGTAAAACAGAGGAGAAAAGAGGAGTCAAAAGTGAAGTAGCAAGCAAACAACGATTGGGAAGTGTAATAGGCCTATAAAGAACAAACACAGTGTGCCTTACTGTACAAACAGAGTCAGCAAGCATGAAGAGCCAGATATAGAGGAGAAAACATGCCTCGTCGTGTAGAGTGGTAAGAGAGTGAAGCAAGGCAAGAAACTGGCTAATATACTGAGAGGGTACTTGAGCTCAGAGAGCAAAAATAAAAGTGCACAGGCTGCAGGGGGAAGGTGGTGGCTGCCAGGGACACCAGTTCTTTTCTGGGACCTACCCCAGAGAACTTCTGTGGTCTGTAGATGCTCAGGTCTCAAAGTTTCATTCCGGTGCAGAAGAAAAGAGGTGTGCAGCATCAGTTCCTGTGACTGGCAGGCATTACAAAGTCTCTGTGTTGACCTGGCCTGCCTGGTATACATATTTAGGAGCCTAGATTTCTACCTTGGTGTAGTCAACGGAGCAGTGCATCGACCTGGCTGTATCTCCAGTTTCTCCAGCTCAGGCAACTGTCCTTGCAGACCTTGAAAGTGCACCTTGCCTGTCTGGACTTGGTGTGACTGAGTTGGTCTATATGAGAGTGAGTGACTAGACCAACGTCATTCAGCTTCATGGCTGAGTGGGGAACTTAGTGTGGTTCTCTGCAGATAGAATCCAATATATTACACTGCAGTGGTATACCACACTTCCCCAATCAGTTACTACCAGGTGCAGGTGAGGCTAACTGAAGAAGGGCAGTTTAAAATTTAGTTTAAATTTTGCTTATCAATTATCTTTAGATACAGATTTCCAGAGCATTTAGAAATCCTTGCTTAGACTTCCTTTAAAAGCTCTTACATTTCCCTTTTCATATTAAACTGTAATCAAGCTACAGGATGGGTCCATAAAAGTGGCATCATGGAGCAACTGAGATTTATTATGCTTACTCCTGGTGATTTCAAGAAAATAATGTGCAGAGATTGCAAGTAGAAATGTATTTTCTTCTCAAGGGTTTTTCCTGAACAGTCACGGAAGGATTCAGGAGTAGTAACATTGGATTCTTTCCGTCTCAGGGGCCTGCACTGGCAGGAAAGGGTTTGCAAACTTAATTCTGCTCTCTCTTTACAGTTTTATTGCTTCTTGGCGTAATTGGAAGCAGAAATTGACCTCACAATGGGAACTTAGGCTGTGATTTGCAAACCAGTTCCAACTTAGAAAACCCTGTTGGTTTCAGTAAGGCTACCCCAGAGTAAGCAGTTTCAAAACAGCAACCTATGTCAGCAAGCACAAAGTGCCTGTGGCTTTTGTTAATAGTGTTTTGTTTTGTAAAATGATGGCGAATGACCACCATTCAAAGCAATGTTTCTCAAACTTCATGAAGTCATGAGGCCTCCTCCTTTATATGTGTGAGATCTTCTAGGCCTCCCACGACCTGGAAACTTATTAGAACTGAGAAAACCAAGGGACCACCCACACTTACATCTTGTCCCATGCGTTTTAGGTACAAGTCTACACTTCAAAGCGCTGTCACCAAGCGCTTGTTCTTTTGCCCCAGTGCTTTCCACACAAAATCCTGCTCTTTAACGCCGAGTCAGAAGAAGCAGCAGTTTGAGACCTGTGCCTAGAAACATGGTGGAAAAGAAACCTGTACACCCTGTGCATACTGATTCTTTTTCATCTCATTATTCTCATTCATTTCATTTCATTCTTCTATTCCTACATACACACATATGCATTGGATCTAGTCTTCTCTACTTTCTCCAATGGACTGTCACTTTTGGAGTCAAAAGGGCAGATTCAGGTTGGACAATTACAGTTGATTGGGGGGAGCCTTGCACAACAAACCCGCTTCCCCTAAAGATCAGAATTTTTTCTGTAAGGAAAGTGAGGAGAAATGCACTGGAAAGTGTAGGTTGACACTTGCTTTGATACAATGTCATCTAACCCTTCTGCAATGAAATCAGAACGAATGCTCATTAAATAAACTTGTCTAATCTCCCTGCAAACAAATCAACAAATCAACAGTGAAGATACAATGAAGGTAGTCTGGGAGCACTCACTGTGTCTCCTCTCACCTCATCACTTTTTCATTTGAAATGGCAAGGCCTATAACCTTACTTCTCTCTTTGGAACCACTATCTGTCCTCATTTTCTATACTTTTCCAGTTTTCACGTGCCTTGTTTTGGTTCTTTTTATTGCTTGGAGAGATGGAGATATGTATGACATAATTTATGTCCCTTTTCTGGGCAGGGGTGTCATCCCTGAGGGGGTGACAAAATGGCACACCGCGGGGGCGGCACTTACCGCGGGGCCTGGCCTGCAGTGCACCCGAACCACTTGTCTCTCCTGAGAGTGGCACAGTGGCTCAGGCCCCGCACTGCCTGAAACAGCCGCTGTTTCTGGGTCTGCGTACACACCATATACGGCGTTTAAAACGCACTTAAAGCACATGGCTTTCCCCAAGGAATCCTGGGAACTTTCATTGGTTAAGAATGCTGGGAATTTTACCTCTGTGAGAGGTAAACTACACTTCCTAAGATGCTTTCAGGAAAGTCATGTGATGTAAAAGCAACTTGAATTGTAACCTCTCTCTCATTTTAATATGTTATGCTTTCTTGCTTCCAGATGTTTGTGGGGGGGTGCTCACCGGCCTCTCGGGATCAATAACAAGCCCTGATTACCCAGAGAATTACCCCAACAATGCCGAATGCCATTGGGTCATCCAGGCAACTTCGAATTCTGTCATCAAACTGATTTTTGTGGACTTCCAGATGGAAAACAGTGAGCAGTGCAATTTTGATTATGTGGCCATCTTTGATGGGCCAACTATGGGGGATACACTCCTTGGTCACTTTTGTGGGCATGTGAAGCCTCCAGACATCTCTTCTGCACAGGAACTGCTGGTTGTGTTCAAATCAGACTTTAACATTGCAGGCAGAGGCTTCAAAGCATATTTCTTTTCAGGTATGGAAGACAATTCTACCTTTACCTTATGCCAATATCAAGTGAGCAGAGGCATGGCAAGTTTTGTGGAGTCTCTGTTAGCACAGGAAGTCATCCTGGGGTCCTTCCAGACATGGAAATTTTAGCAGCACCTAAATATTGCTGGTTCTACTTTAAGCTGGAAGTGGAATGCCAACTCTGCTTCTAAACTTCTGGAATCCAAATAACATTGGAAGGAATCCAAATAACATTGGAAGGGAAGCCTCACTTAATTCAGCCCCAAATGTTTCAGGATGTGATTATCATTGGGATCCTGGTACAGTGGTGCCTCGCAAGACGAAATTAATTCGTTCTGCGAGTTTTTTCGTCTTGCGAATTTTTCGTCTTGCGAAGCACGGTCAAGTCGCAACTGCACCTCTTCAAGCGGTTTTAAGAAAAAGGAAACAAACTTGCAAGACGTTTTCGTCTTGCAAAGCAAGCCCATAGGGAAATTCATCTTGCGAAGCAACTCAAAAAACGAAAAACTCTTTCGTCTTGCGAGTTTTTCATCTTCCGAGGCATTCATCTTGCGAGGTACCACTGTATGGGCAAAAGGGCTAAATGCTTCCTCTTCCCTCACTCCAGCGCCACTACAATGCAAAGAGGGGGAGAAAAAAATATGGATACAGTATAGTGACAATGCTCTTCAGAAAGGGAAAGGTTAAAGTGGCAGAGTTGATTTCTAGAGAGGAAAGACAGACCATAGAGAAGGAAATGGCTAGAGAAATGCAAGGAGGCCATAACTGGCTCCAAAACCGACTGAACAGCTGTGTGATAGGCCATTTGCACCATGGGAGATTCTGCAGCTATCCCACTGTTTGTTTGTTTTATAGTCAATTTCTGAGCTCTGGAAGCAGAATGGTAGCTGAACAGGGAAAATATGGGAAGAGTATGCTTTGGTCATGACTTTTATGCAGATGCATCTTAAGAGGAGAATGAACAAGTGCAGCTTTTCTCAGAAAATGCTTGGTGTGGAAGCAGCCTAGGGAAAAATGGGATATTCCTCAAAAAACCTTAGCTTTTGTATAAATTGAGAGATGGATCCTGACCTCAGTAAAGCAAACAAACTAGCATTGCTTAAAACTGAAGTTAGTATTTCAGCCTTTGCAAATCTTAAACCTTTTATGATATGTTCCTAATCAATAGGATCCACCCTATGCTAAGCTTTGGCAACATTATATCAGTTTCTAATGTTCATTTTGAAGATATGTTTGCTTGTTGAGTATTTCTTCTGAATGCAATCCCACATCATGAAATCTGAGATTTACCACATCCTGGAGAACCTTGGTGTTTGACCAGCCTCCAGGATGTGGCAAATCTGAGATCTCACCACACTGATGCATATTCAGAAGAAATGTTAACCACAGAAAATGATTAGTAAAAATCACATTGTGGCAACTTCACCACATTCAAAAGGAGCGTGAGAATTAAGGCACAGAACTAATCTACACATTTAAAAAAGGGCACAACCTGCAGGAGCTATAAAACGTACAGGAGAGGGTTGCATGTTTTCTGCCTCACATTAAACACAAACATACAAAACTTTATTCCTAAGGAAAGCTAGCCTGTCAGGGAGAAAAGGTGTGCCTTGGTGTTCTCCCAGATGCACTACCTTTCTATGTACGGGGGTTTCCCCATCCTTATCTGTATTATGAAGTTTTTTAGCCCTAGGACAGCTTTACAATGTGCATTTTCCCAGAACAGCTTGCCAGCTCTACATCAGACTTGGGGATTTTGCTATAGGGCTTGGACAAAGGTCTCCCATTGGACACATGAGCTAGGGAATATGCTGTTAGGTTATTCTATGTCAGTAGGTATATATCAAACTCACTAATGCATACATTTACAGTATATGCACACCTTATCCTGGTGGTCGTATGCATTTCTATGTTCGTTACTTGTTTGTAGGACTGCATTGCAAAACTTGGAGAAGTGTGAATTTTGGAGGATGGCTACAGTTCGGTTCTTGTATTGTTTAAATGTGAACTGAATCCAATTTCTCCCCATCCCTAATCTACACATACACATCAGTATATGCAGATTTTATGCAAACCTCTTCTTTTGATGATGCATTTCCTCTTTTGGGTGATGAGCAAGTGGCTATCCTACAGCCAAGGGGTGGGGAGAGGTTAAGAAGTTGAAATTGCATTCCCCATTGGGTTGGGGAGAGGGATGTGGGAGAGAGAGAAGTGTTTAGGAATGTCTTACACAGCACCACAAGAAATTAAAGTTCATTCCTTGGGCTGTCTGAATCGTATCACACTCTCTTTGTTCTGTAACCAGGTGCATGTCAGGAGGTGTACACAGCCGTCAAAGGAAATTTCTCCAGTCCTCAGTATCCCAACTATTACCCCAATAATATCAAGTGTCACTGGGCCATCCAGCTGCCCCCAGGATATCGAATCAAAGTCTTCTTCCTGGACTTGGATCTGGAGGGGCGGAACAGCCTGACAGATGGCTGTGATTATGACCATCTGGCTGCGTTTGATGGAGGCACCGAGAAGGCGTCTCTGCTGGGGAAGTGGTGTGGGAGAGAAATGCTGTCTCCTATTATATCCAGTAGAAACAAGCTGCTATTGGTCCTTCACACAGACAGGAACACAGCCAACCGAGGTTTCTCTGTTGCATACATCGGAGGTATGGCCCGCCATCTGATCTCTTTCACCCAGATTTTCTGTTGTGTGGAATATTTGCGGGGGGGGGGGGATGTTTGTGAACAAGAGAATCCAGAACAAGCCTGAAGATAATAATCATTGTTGAAAATGAGCATGACACACAAATGATAAGTTGTCAGAAAGTACTGGCTTTTGTGTGTTGGGAGAAAATACCAAAATTATCAATGTAGTGGCATACAAATTATATAAAATTTTGCAGGAAAGCTATGCAATCAGTGGTTTTCTGTTTTCCAAACTGTGTCATTATTAAATGCACATGGTCAGAAAGTATTTGGTAGTTCATAATTCGTTTCAGGAGAAATTTTTCAACCCTTGCTTTGCTATTTCTTTACTCTAATATTTACTTATCAGAGGTTGTATTTCTGTGATGAGCTTTGCAAGAGGCCAGCTGCATAACAGCTAAAATTGGAAGTCTTGTCTAAGTCATCTGGAGTGAAGTCATCCAAGATGGATTTTCTGCAGTATACTTGCTCTGTCTTGTGTCATATTGGTTTATATTGTGTGGGCTGAAATCTGGTAGGCTGGTATTGGTCAACACCTGGTCCACTCCTTGGCAGAATGGGTTGGACATTTTATTTTGAATATTCTCAGTTGTTTGGTTCTGTTCATAGGGAAAATCGTCTTGCGAAGCAGCTCAAAAAACAAAAACCCCTTTCGTCTAGCGAGTTTTCCGTCTTGTGAGGCATTCGTCTTGCGGGGCACCACTGTAGTAAGGGCCAATCCAATACATTTTGCCGCTGTAAGCAAAATGGCTGACAATGCCCCTGCCCCCATGACACATTCCTCCGCAAATCCAGGTCCCAATCCCACCCTATCCCTGCTCTGGGTGTCATGCCTGTCCTACCGCCAAACCCGTCACTGCAACTGTACCCTCACCTGCAACTGCACCCATGCTGCTGCCACAACACAGCAGCACAGTGCAAGCTGCAAAAATAATTGGGGATGCATAGATGGATGTGTACAGTGCTGAAAGGGAGGGTGCAGGATCTCAGACAAGAACTCCCAACAGTCATAATCAGGGGCTTCACATCCTGTGTCACCAGTAGCATAAGCCCAATACACTGGGTTTTGATGTGCCATCTAGACAGTAATACCAGCCTGTTCAGCACCCAGTCAGCTGACCCCCAATGACCAATCCCAGGACACCATGTCCTATAAAGGTTTTGCCTCAGAGCTTGCTTGTCTTTGGCAGTCTGAATGGCTTCCCTCCGAAGTGAGCCTAAGCTCCTGCTCCCTTTCTCTGATTTTTCTCTTGGATATTGGGTTTGACTAAATGTATGCTTCTGCTTTGGACCTTGACTTCTGCCTGTTTTGGACAGGACACCTGCTTCTGGCTCACATGGGCTGACAACAAGCTCCGTTGGGTCCCAGAATCTTATTGCCTGGAGCCTAACTCTTACTGAAGTCATACATAATAAGCATCACTCACACTTTCACTATACACACACACCCCCTAAAGCTGGGCAGCAAACAGCAGTCTTGCTGTTGACTAATAGTGTCTCAGAGATGTGTGAGGGATGATTTCTATCCTATTTCTGCATGGGACATTCCTTCCTGCATAGTGCATACCAAAGACCAGCCTTGTATGTGTTTGCTGAACTGCACAGCAGGAACTGGTTTCTTTGTCCCAGGTCAGAGCCAGTGGTGTCAGTCTCCTGTGGTGGATATTAGGAAATGAAAAGCAGTTAAGAGCTGCGCCTTCTAGTTCACATTGCTGTTGTTAAGCTGGAAGTAGGGTTTTAAATTACCAACCTAATGTATTTGAGGATTTCTCAGTGAGCTTTGAAAAAATGAACTCAGGAGTGAAAAGGCGTGATGAACCTTCCCAAACACTAAACTGTATGCTGCCCAGAGTCACATCTACGATCACTGTGGTGGTGTCGATTATTATCTAGTTTCAAATCTGTGCTTTAGCTCATACTATTATTTTCTGCACGAAGATAATCTTATTTTCTGTATGAAATACTGTGTACCGATAAAGCAAATGTTTCAGTTCGCTTAAAATTTTGAGCCTGTGGCCTTTACCACTGGTTATGTCTTATTCCCTGATTCACTTGGTAAAGTGCAACTTCATAGTCAGCGGTTGGATCACTAACCAAACATTACCCGGGTAGCTCGTTTGAGGCTCGGCTTTTGGTCTAAGCTCTGGCAGGGGTGAACGGGGGGGGGGGGCAGCCCGGCGCCATCGGACAAAATATAATAACATTGCCCTACTCCAAGAGGTGTTTGGACACGGCACTGGAAGCCTAGCAATATCTGTCAGGCAATCAATATGCCATATAGACTCAGATACAGGCACTAGACCCTAGACCAGAGACGTTTGGCAACGCACACCTGTTTACGAAAAAATCTCGCTGGCACACCCACATAAAGCCCCGCCCGTGACGTCAGGCGCAGCGTCACGCGGAGGAGCCAAATGAAGTTTTTCCCTCCCTTGCTGGGACGTCCAAGCTTGGGTGGAGGAGGCAGCAGAGCGAGGACTGAGGACGGGGCAACTGAGCGGCGAGGGCTAGATGGGAGGGTTCAGGGACACGCACTCTGAAGGCTTCTCCTAGCTGCGCTCGAATCCGCCTCGGAGAGGATTCCCTCCGTCCCATGCGTTCTGGGGCATCGCTCCGCTGCTTCCCTCCCGCGCCAGGAGCGATCCTCTCTCTGGCTCTCCTCCGGCAGGCTGAGGAGGAGGAGGGCGCGTGTGACCGTCTCTGCTGGGACCAACCCAGCGAGCAGAGTGCCGGGCGCCCAGCAGCGCTGCCGGACTGCGAGAGGCCAGGCGCAGCACAGCGCGCCTCCTCGCCGCCGCGCCCCGCTCTCGCCGCCCGACTCGCCCGCCTCCTCCAGCATCTGCGGCACACGAGGACTCTCACGCCACTCGTGTGCGGAATGGCTGCCAGCTATCTTGTATTAAACCTCCGGTGATTGCCAGGTAAGATTTGCTTCCTTTCTTTTGTTTCCCCTCTCGCAGTATGTTCCCCGATGAAGTGTCAGCCTAGCACCAGCGGACAGAGTTTCCGATCCAAGCATACCCACACAGTCACTGGCTCAGTTGGAGAGGAATAAGATATATTTAGGAATCCCGTCCTGCCCTGCACAAGTGGTTGGCTTGAATTTTAGGATACATGCAAGGTTTGAAACCTGTGGTACAGAACCGCAGGTAAGTGATCGGGGTGTGTGTGTTTTTGTGTTTGTTTTTTTTTAAAGTTAGGCTTGTATAAATAAAGGCCATGCCCAACTAAAATATGTTCGCTGCCTGGGCCTTGTATTCTGCATCAGCAGGAGGCACAATTATTATCATTCGTTGCCCCTGGACCAATCCTCAGAGCATCTGTTCCTGGATTTGTTCCCGTGGCCGAATTAGTGAAGTTATCCTGTGTGGATTACTTGCTGCCCCTTACTATTGGCTGTTTCCTTTGCTTGTTCAGCATAAATAACAGGGAACTACAAGGCCAACACACAGTTGTGTCATTGAATGGTTAAGGGGAGGAGAATTACTGGAGTGAAGGAGTGAAGATGAGGCAATGCAGATGCAGTTATTATTTATCTTGTACATTTTATATGCCAGCTTTCTTCCACCATGGAACTCAAGGAAGTGTACATGGCGGTTCCCATGGGAGTCTCCCATCCTGGGTCTCTCACCCCACCTTCTCTCTGTTTCTGTCTCTCTCGCACACACACACTCTCACATTTCTCCACACCACCTCTGAGATGTTACACACAAACACACAGGGGAAATGTTACATCTATGGGTGTGTATTTGAAGGAATGAAAAGAACTATTTGGGGTAAAGCACATTCTAACGTTTGGTATTGGTTCTCCCCTTTCCCCCTTTTTTATCCTCACTACAACCCTATGAGGTAGGTCAGGCTGAGAAGCACCTGCCTAAGATAAAAGTATCCTCCATTATACTCTGAAGTAAGCGGCCTGTGAAGTGATGCCTGGATAAAAGTTTGTGGTGTAAATGTGGTGTTTTGTTTGAACTGTACCTCATGTGGCATCCAAGCCTAGACAGAAAGCTCACCATGACTCAGTTTTTGTTCTAAGAAGGTTTTCCAACACTCTGGCTGATTAGCCTGGTCTAATGATTTTTTGGAGGAAGGCTTCATGATCATCAGAATGCATACCGACCACTGTGAATTGGGAACTCAGATCTGGGGGTTTTTTTACTAAGCAAAATCCTTCCAGATGTTCAGCATGTGTTAAATTATCCTCAGGTTGCACAAAGAAAAACTTAGACTAAACCAGAGTAACATTAAAGGTGGAGTTTCACACATTTATAGGGCACATTTCCTTAAAAAATGCAAATAGCAGCCTCTATTTAAAATGCAAATAGCAGCAGGGGGTGTTAAATATCAAGATCAAAGCAGGGTGAATTTAACTCCTTCCACCCCTCTGCAGACCTTAGAAAAATATCTCATTTTAAGCATTGGGAGGAAATTTCCTCTCAGCAGCTAACAAGAGTGAGTGTACTTCAAATAGGATTGTGGCATGCAAGGAAAAGGTTAAAACACCACAGCACCAATAACACCTTCAATTACCACTGCTGCTTTGGGGTGGTTGTTTTTTTTTTTTAACTACTGAAAAACTGCTCCTAAGTCCCAGATTTTGTTTTAATATATTTAGTATAATTTTTATCGATTTATCATAAATGTATGTACAAACTGACACATAATCATACAAACCATAACAGAACCATACGCTGAGTATATTCTGTATTAAAAAAAAAAAACAAATTACAGAGGTGCAGTTACATATAGCCAAGATTTTAAGATGAGTCTATATAGTGGCTCTGTGGTCTAAACCACAGAGCCTAGGGCTTGCTGATCAGAAGGTTGGCAGTTTGAATCCCCGCAATGGGGTGAGCTCCTGTTACTCTGTCCCAGCTTCTGCCAACCTAGCACTTCAAAAGCACGTCAAAGTGCAAATAGATAAATAAGTACCGCTCCGGTGGGAAGGTGAATGGCGTTTCCATGTGCTGCTCTGGTTTCACCAGAGGTGGCTTAGTCATGCTGGCCACATGACCCAGAAGCTGACTGCAGACAAACACCAGCTCCCTCGGCCTATAGAGCGAGATGAGCACCGCAACCCCAGAGTCGTCCGCAACTGGACCTAACTGGACCCTTTACCTTATATAGTCCAACCACAACGAGGAGTCATGGGAGGAGTACTTATATGACTCTCCATATTTACCGTATATAATTTAAAAAATGGAAACAGATCCAATTCAGAACTGTCTGATTTGGCTTCACCCCAAACAACATGTCTAAGTCTGACCAGATATTCAGATAAAGCTGTGTTCCATACATTAGGAAAACATACCTCTCTCATAGGAATATTTGATGATTTCCAGTATACAGCTATCTGGCTACTGATAGTAACACAAGCACTATATTTTTATAAGTTATAGGTGATTGACATGAGTCCCACATTTTTGAAAGTAACCATTGCTTTGGGGTGCAGTTATTGTCTGATTCCTGGGAAATTTCATTTTAGGTCCCGGTCATCTGTGAAACTGTTGATGTGCAGGTGACAAGGCTCACGTTAAAGACCCTAGATGAAATAACTTGTCTATGGCCACCCAGTGAGCAGAGAAAGAAAGAGGAAATAAGGGGTGCTCATTCCTCGGTCAATGGCTTGGCAGCCAAAGGTGCTGAGCATCCAAACAACATTGAAATGAGGCTATGCGCTGCTGGGGAATACTAGATAACTTGTAAATTATTCATAATATTTTCATGTATTTATTTTCAACATATTTTCATAACCGTGGGAGCTAAGCCAAGCTTCCTCATGACATAGTTTTGACTTGTCATGATCAAAGAACTGGTAGTCATAAGTTCAACTTGTTTCCCTTTATTGTACCATTTTGTGATTCCATGAGGTGTGTGTAAAAGAAGAGAGGAGAGGCCTTTTGCTCCATTCATTCCTCGCCTGCCAGTCTAGGTAGGTCAGTCATACCAGGCCTGAGGTTCTCTGGTCCCTCTGCCTCCAGATGAGAGTGATTTCTGTGGATCCAAGGGACATATTTATGAGGGGAAATGAGAGATCATCAAGCCTTCCCAGCTCTTCCCTGAACCCCAGAGACTTTACTTTTCTCTGTCAGATCCAACTTGTACAGCCCTGTGAGGGCAGGAAATACCCCTTTGAGTCCAGCAAAAATGCACCCAAGTCCCCAACAGCCAATCTTATTAAGTTTATTTAGAATAAAAAGACAAGGTAAAAGCAGAATGGTACATCAAAAAGAAAATATTTCAAGTTATTTCTCTTATTGCAGCTACTTATAAACATGCTCCTGCCTCCTCAGATAGATGGTCGGCTGAGGGACCTATTTGGCAACAGTCATCTTTTAAAGAGTTTCTGGCCCAGGTGGGTCTTGATTGACAGGTGGCTATTTCCCGCCAATCACAAGCCAGTCACTCACATAGGCAGACAACACCCAGGGGCTGAAACAGTCAAGGGGGCAATAAGTTGGAGATGGGGGCTGTTAAGGTGCCTTTCCTGGACTATGGGCATGACTTCTCTGCTATGATAGAGAACAAGCGATACCAGGCAATCTTAAGGTGATGGGAAGGAGCCATAGCTCAGTGGCAGAGCATATCTGCTGTACATACAACAGTTCCTAGGTTCCATCCACAGCATCTCTAAGTAGGTCTACCTCAGACCCTGGTGAATTACTGGCAGTCAGCATAGACAATACTGAACCTGGTGGACTATTGGTCTGAGTCCAAACAAGGCATCTGCCTATGACAAGTCACCATAAATGAGGCTTTATGGGGCTAAATGAGGCCACAGTATGAAATAAACCACTTTTAAAAAATACTTCCAGAACAAGGGTCATTTGTTGTTTTATTTTTGGCAATGATGTCACAGCAGGTCAGATGTCCAGCAGTACGATGGGATGATAATCCAATGAGTAATCCAATTTTGCTTTCTCTAGTTTCATGGAGTTTGAGAAGGACTTTTTTTCTGGCAGCAGATCCGTCTGCTTCCTTTGTGCACTATTCCCTCTTTGAAAGGGGAAGCTCTACAAGCGTTTTAATGCAGGTTCTTCTGATAAAGGCGTACATTGATTGACTGATGTACTGTGGCTGGAAGGAAGGGTATGGCCTACCAGTAGAATAAAAAAAGGATTATTCACCAGCTGTGAGTAGCTCATAATCAGGCCAATCGTATTGATTTTCTTCCCGTCTGCTCTGCATCCATAGCATATGCAAGTCAGATAGTGGTACCAAAGATTCCATCACGGAAATATAAAAATCAGTACACGTACTGAATGTCAAAGACAAAACGCACATAACTTCCCTCTGCTCTATTCAAAGCTTGCTCCAGTTTGGCGCTAGTACAAACTGTAATCCACCTAATTATCTCGCTGTGTAAATATACTGTGTCTTCCTGACCCAAAACTTTACCTGTAAACCTACCTAGTTATGTCGTTATGGAGTTAGTCAGACCCACCTGGATTCTGTTGCCTTGCATGGCATCATGTATCTTGTTTTATCTAGAAAACAAAGAGGATTAAAAATAAAATTATTTACATATATATAAATTTATTTATTTGGTTTTTCAGATTAAAATTTTACAGTCACATATCAAACATCCAACATAAAAACAATATTGCAAGGAATCTCCTGGACTTCCCTCCTCCCCTTTGTGGGTCTTATTGTTAATCATTTCCTCCTGCATCTTTTATGATAATCCAAATCTTTTACATCTCCATTGTGTCCAAAACTCACCATTAAGCTACAAGTGATATCCCAAACCTACTAACGATTTTAACTGTTTACAATGGTTTTTAATGGTTATCATTTCCCCCCATTCCTTATTAAAATTTTGGACTTCCTGTTTTCTGATTCTTCCAGTCATTTTAGCCGTTTCGGCATAATCCATCAACTTGATCTGCCATTCTTCTCTAGTAGGTAAAGTCCCTACCGGATTAAAAATAAATTATTACCTCACAAAGTAAACCTTAGACAGCCTTACTTCTTTAGAAGATTTATTACTAATGTAGAAAAGGAATATGTTCACTGGCTGCACGGTGTTAAAATAAAACACTTTTCCTTTGCTTGTATTTCTTCTTTTATAGAAAAGAAACAACACGTCTGTTATTGTCAGCATCCTGTATATTGACTTTTCAGATGGAAATCAGGAGGACATTCACCAATATGAAGTGCAGTGCGAACCCAAAAGGAAAGAGGCCTCTGTGAATCTTATCTCTGGCTCTGATCCCTACAGACTGAACCAGTATGCAGAGAACCTGGTGGAGTCCCAACAGCAGGATATGGAGGCGGCAGACGTCTACGAGAGCAAGGGCCAGGACACCAGCGACATTGTTTTCATCAGCATCTGTATTCTTGCTGGGGTTCTCATGATCATTGCTATTGTCGGGTTAGTCTTGTTATAGGGATCCAGCCTTTCGGACACCTATCCTCTTGGCATTCCTTCCATGTCAGCTACTCAATGAGACTCACATGAGAGGCAGCTTGTTCTGGAGCTGGGTTAAAATGCTCACTTATAGTGGCAACTCACCACATCAGGCTAGCCTTGTCCCATGCCAGTTTAGATCTGAACAGGACTCCTGAGGTTTTGCTCAAAATCACACGCTTAGAGTGTATCTGCGCCAGCATACCTTCTTAATACTCGTTTTCATTTAATGTAAATTTGCCCTCATTTTCCCAGAACTAATCTTCGTTGGTGGCAAGGGGAAATTATAGGTATAAAAGGAGAATTCCTGGATGCCAAGATCGAAGTTTGGGGCAAGTATTTTTTGGTGAGAGAATCCCAGCAGAGATTTATAATCACAAAACATGCAGCAAAGTGTGGGCGGGGGGAAGGCTGTTAGATATTTAAAATACACCCTTGTGAGTTCCAAAATGGTCCCTTTCCCCTCAGCATAGAAAAAGATCACATGTTTGGTACATTAAAAATGGGTTTACTTACAAACACTTCAATTGGTTTACTTACAAACGTGTCAGATTCATGTGCTTTTCCATACATCATTCGGAAAACATAGGCAGTAAAACTTGACTTAATTACAGTGATGAAAGTTCCTAAATTATTGGTACAGGAACACAAGATTGGCTTGTTAGAGCCATGCAGTCTCCGCTTGGAGCAACCAGCTCAGACCTCACATGTTGAGCTTCTCAGGCAGGTTGGGAGAGAACAATAGGTTTGATTACCTTCCTCCCAAGGTGAGGGGGTGTGACCTAGCTAAGCCTGGCGTGTTGGGTTGCTCTGTGGTTTTAACACCTTCATGCATTAATTAGACTTAAGCATGTTGATTATATGAGGCTGAGAAATTTTGTATGAATATGTGATCACCTCAGAATAATTGTGGGTTTCTGGGGACTTCAAAAAAATAGTACTGCTTATGCACAATTACTTCTGTGCACTCATGTCATCATACACATCAATAATTTTGAAGCAGTATGCAGAAGAGATGGGTGTGAAGAGGTATACTTTAACACTGAAAAAGGCAATCTCAATATTAGGAGTAGGATATGAAAATCAAACAGCAAGTAAGGTGTATGCCTTCACATAAACTGCCCTATGGCGTGTCCCTGTTTAAAATTCTATGTTCAGTTCTCTCACCCCATCTCTAAAAGGGTATGGTAGAGGTGGAAAAGATACAAAATGGAGAAACTAAAATGATTAGGAGAGATGGAGCACCTTCCCTTATGGAGAAAAGCTTAAGAAGACGGAGAATCTTAATGTTGCTTTAAAGAGTGGCGTGACACTTGAACTGCTCTTTAACCATCCTGCTTGTGTGAAGAAACTAGTGATTAAAGAACATTAACAAGTAACTAATCCACATTAAGAGATCTTGAGTGTGTACTCTTGTCTCCTTTGAGAAGATATCACACTGCTTATGGAATAGTGGAAAAATCACAGCAGCCTGTAAGAGACTTTGCAGCAGAAGTATTATAGTTCCTTAGCATCTTGATAACCTATAAGCCAGATGCTTTTGTACCCATTAGGAGCAGAGGGTTGGTGTGCTCATATGCCAAGGGTAGGGTGAGGAACCCACAGTTTGTTCATACTACATATTGCCCTTTAGACTTAAGAAGTCAGCCTCTGACATGATGAAAAACTTTTAGAGTCTTGAAATAATTCAGAGCCAGTATTCCATCTCTCTTCTTAAAGAAAAAAGATGCACATCAATTCTTCCCTTTCTTAATAAAAAATCTAGCTTTGTTTTTTTGAAAAATGTTTTTTTCCAACCATCTAGCTGTCTTCCATTTAAAACCATAAAGCAAATTTAAATATTCCTGGGACAAATCCAAAAGCTGGTTTTTAAATTAACAAGTTTATGAGTACAAATCACCTGGGGCAGAACTAGACTCGTGGTTTATAACGTTAAGGAATGATTTTCATAATGTAGATGGACACATTACATTTTGCTTGTAATGTTCATAATGTGTTATTAAAATTTGACACCAGAGGACGCTGCAGAGCAACGAGGAACCAGCAGTAGGGAAACTGTGTTTTGACGGATAAAAACAAGGCAAGGAACATTTTAAATTTACCAGTATGCCCTGTGACGTTTTAGAACGATCTATCTAATACCATTCCAATAACGGTTAAAAGGTCAGTGTGGATCCAGCCCTGGAATCCTATACCCTGTTGAAAGAAATAAGTGCTGATCAAGTGTGTAGGTCCCCTTATGGGATTTTAGCATATGTACCTGTAAAACAGGAGCAGACAGAAGTTAAGCCTTCTTAATATTTTTGTCCTGGTAGTGATTTTGCCTTGCATGGGCAATGTTAGCAAACATATTTTTTGTTTTAAGCTTCAAAAGGTCATGAGTTCACAATTCTCTGATTACATGCAATACTCAGATATTTAAATAACCACTTCTTAGCACATGATATTTCATGATAAATTCATGAAGTTCTCCTTAAATGATTTCCACAGAGTGCCTATTTGAGCAAGTTGGTTTCACTTTTAAATGACCAAGAGAGACAGCTATGGCAAGCCTTCAAGCGCTTTATTTCTGAAATGTTGCACATACAGTGCTTTGCCACCTTCAGTCTCTTGATGCTGCTCATAGCTTCTTAAACCTAGCAAGGGAAACCAATAACCATTGTACTAACAGTGGGGGACTGGCTATGGCATAATTACAAGTGATAGGTTCCCCCATTCTGCTCCTTGAAAATTCTGTACTACAGAAAATCTCAGAGACAGGACAGAATAAGTTGAATGCTGTCTGAATTTGTATGAGAATGCATGAATTGTAGAGAAGAGATAGTTGTTTCTGGGTCAAAAGCATGGGAAACCTCAATATAATTCATTGTCCTTTAATCTGGCTGCACCAAGAAAGCCACATCAGACAAAGCAATATTCCTCTACTTGCCTTTACCAGAACTCTTAACTTCCATTTACTCCTTTTAAGTCACTAAGAATATTAAGTTTCGTGAATACAGTAGCTGACTTCTTGATTCCCTATTCTTAGTTGTAAAGCCACTTCAGGGTCCTTTCCCAAAATTCTCAAAAGTTTATTTCCAAAAGTTACATATATGTGATCCTACTATGATGTAAAAACATCTCAAAATAAACCTTGTGTCCAAACATGGTCCTGACTCTCCAGGATGGAGGATATTTATTTGGGTAGCAATATTCCCCACCCCCACCCCGAATGAACTATCCTTGAATGCAGAATCTTCACTAAAGAGGATGAGCCTTCTCCACAATAGTTTCAGAATAATGTCACAGTCCTTGTGTTTTCAGTGGCAGTATTATTAGCAGATTCTGAAGGCCTCCTCTATAACACAACGAGAGCACACACACAAGTCCCCCACCTAACAAAAGTGAAAAGAAACCGAGACTTGCAGGAGCTTAGACCATGAATCAGACAGACACAGGTATGACAAGCTGCTTTTTGGATTCCTGATGTACATGTGACTCATGAGTACACAAGACAGTTTTCATAGTGGGAGCAAGTGCCAGTACACTGCTGAGAACAAAACTGGCAACAGCAAAAGAGTTTCACAGGAGGGATGGGAATGGAGATAGGCAAATGCATTAAATCCACTGTTTCACTGCCTAATTTGCCCTGTTGTTGTGTTTTCCAAATCATGCTCATGCTAAAGTCCTGGTCCATCTTCCTGTCACCTTGGAACTCCTTGAGAATGTTCTTCGCTTTGTCCTCCAATTAGCTTGTTGAGCCACCAGTTTTTCTGTTTTCTTATCCACTTCTCCCAAACCTTCTAATGGACACAGATCAGAACTGTGACAGCAAATTTACTGAGCAGGACTGCAAAATAATATGAGAAAGTGCTCAACAAAACATTGTTTCTCTTCTACAAGGCAAAGTCAAGTGGGATGACCATGCATCCTACTTTACAGAGGATTGTCCTCTGAAGCATTGCCCAGTCCAAATACATTTTAAAGTTAAAGAACAACAAGAAGCGAAAGTAGACGTCTTGAAGTTGTCTATCAGCACAATACATGGGCAGCAGGTGCATGTCACCTGGTCACAGTCTTTGTCACTATGGTGAAATGTATTGCATTTCCACTGGAATTATGGTAATTATTTTTATTTTGCAATTGTACATTTAATTTAGCATATTCACATTTTATGTAAACGTGTTTCCTCTTTTTTTAGTGCAGAAGTGGCCCTCTACAGACACTGTTTTCTGGTCTGCAGATGGGCACTTTCCAATTGTATTCAATGGAACCTTTGATTTCCTTGGAATAATGTCAGGAGTTTCTCCATGAGAGCAGTAATGATGGACAAGTTTCCCTGAAAAACACTTCGTACACCACTTCCAATTTTCTCTGAAAATGTAACAGTGTGTTCCAGGCTGTACTTTTAGTTATCACAATACAACAATAATGTCCAATATGCCTAGCTATATCAACTGACTGGGGTCCAGAAGGTGACCCAGAATTGGCTATAATGGACTGAGGTTTTGCAGGACTGCCATGACAGAGCAGTTAACACGGAAATGGCTTCCTGAATACAGAAAGCCTCAAAACTAGTGGAATACCAAAGGACTGCTCCTGTGAGAAGGTAGCATTTTTTGTACACATTACCTGGCCAGAGAACTGCCTGGCAAAATTCAGATAAGTGCAAATTTCAAATGATGGCTGTGTTTCAGTTCATGGATGGTTTCAGAAAGTGCAAATCAGGTAGGCTCGCCCTTAAATGTGAACTGCATCAAACTTCTTCCCCATCCCTAACCAGAAAAAAGATCCAGATTCACAATGCAAACTAATTTAAACAAGCCAGTTGGCCCTCGCAAAACCTGTGAAGTAGCACGGACTTTGTGCAGGTTGATATATTGGTATCTGAAGCTGTAGAGATAAAAGGAACAGTTGCGTTATTTTTGAAAAAGAAGCAACCTGCACTTTCCCTCTCATAAAAAGAAACTTTGTTATCAGGGTCTTGATTTGAGTCAATGTTTGTTGAACTGACACGTTGGTAAATGAAATATTTATGAGCGAAATATTTGCCATCTATGTTAAGCTCCATTAAAGAAACATTTTGTGTGTGCGTGCCCACGCTTTAGAAAAGAAGGCCAAGCCTCTCCCCATCGCCACAAATCCTTTATGTTGGTTAATTGCTATGTATATAACTGTCAGCTTGGGACTAGTATCAAGGGCTGACAACTGAGGCAACTTAAAAGATATAATTAACCTTCTTCTGCAGGGGCAACTACGCAGCGACATCAGAATATGTCTGCCAGTACTTGCTGGTTGTATAATTGCACCGACGCGTGCATAGTGTCCACGTTCACACGTGCTGTTTAATTTGACAAAAAGTGCATTAGTCAGGATCACGCAGTCCTGTCCCACACTTCATCTGGTTGCGTAAGAAGATGCAACATGTTGAAAATCAAATGTGCACAGCAGCTAATCGCCCAGTACTGTGGAGATTGTAGTGATGAGTGTCCTAATCACACCACCTTCATGCGTCCTGCTCACCTTCAACAGACTCCTCCTTTGGTTGTTAGTTACAGCCTACTGAAGAATTGTGGGACAATGGGGGGGGGAAGAGTCAGCCCCACCCTCATCTAATATATCATATATGTCAACGATTTCGCATCTGGCATTGCAAACAAGAGCAACTGTACTCTAAAAAGCACAGGAACTGACTAATTGATTGCCAGTTAAATAAACGGACAAGGACTAGCTGAACGTACTAGCTGAAATGCCATTAACTCTGAAAAGCTTCAGCAGCACTTTGGCAGTCTACATTGGACAGACTTATTCCACAATAAGTGGGGCAAGAGAGGATCCCCACTAATTACATTTGGGGTGGGCAGGAATGAGAAGACACAATATGACACCACGGGAGTTCGACAGACAGGCAACTATGGGTGCTTCCAGACAGGGACTTCGTGGCACCAACAGATGATTCAGATCCAGTTTTTCTGTATGCAACCAAAGGTAGAAATTGGGTTGTGTACACTGCCCTATATCCCAGGTTCCTGTCCTCTTAAGTGCTTAATTTCAGATGCACTTACACTAGTACTGTTTTCAACCCAAAACCTCATGCCAGGAACACCAGCCTGAACACCCCCTTATCATCTGCCGAAACTGTTTTCCATTACACCAGCAGCAGGCTGGCTACAGAGTGCCTCTGACCCTGTGCAGAGTATTTCAAATGTGTAACTATTAAGGTTATGGTACAAGAACTAAAATTGCCAGTTATCTGAACCGCCACGCATCCAGGGAGGTACCAATATCAACTCCCTGACATGGCCATTGTCAGTTTAATCTAGCAAGACCTCTTCTCATCGGAACATGATGATGAGCAGCATTTTCCCACCGTGCGTCTCCTCCAGTGTCAACAGAGCAATTTACCCTGCATGAGGACCTGCTACTGTCCATCTCTGACCTTCTAGCCAGGTGCTCTAACCGCAGACAGCATGATTAATGTAATTTTAAACACGAGTTACATTTCAGGACAGGCGGAGGCTGTGCAACGCTGCTCCCCTTTCCTACTCAGTGTTTGCATCCTGTCATGTTTCCTCCTTGTAAGTGCTTGTCGGGCTTGCTCTGGCCTATGTTCTCATCTGTGTCTGTGATTACTAGCTATTAATGATCTATCCGGCTCATCCACTCAGTGCCTCCTGAGTAAAGAGTAGTCTCTTTGCACTTCCTCCGTGATTGGTCGTTTGCTGGTTCCTGCACTGAAGTGTTCAAGGCTCTCATTTCCACCAGGAAGTTTTGGGATCCATTTTCTCCCTGTCTTTAAACATTCCACAGGCATTCCTGTCCAGGTCCCCTTTTTAAAACACACACACACACATTCTCTCTTAATGAATGTAGGCCTCATATTCTTGACCCCAAGGGAGTTCCTCTGCCAAAATGCTACTGTAATATTGTCAGGATAATCGACAGTAATTCACCTCGCCACCCTTACTTAGGAGGCTAATAGCTGAAGTTTCCTTCCGCATTTATAAGGAGCCTCCCACCTAGAAGACATTAAAAGAGCCTTGTAGCGATGAATATGTATGTACAAGCTAGTCACAAGTCAGAGTGTCCACACGCACTAGAAAACCACTGCTGGAATGGCACCATATATTGAGGCTTTGTGGCATTCAAAACAAGTTAGCATGAGGCAGGATGATGGCAACCGGATGGCTGGATTCTTAAAAACACTGGAATAAATTCAGCTGCTTTTGTGTTGTCTGATTACTATTTTGCTTCCTGTTTATTGAACCCACGCGCTGCAAAACTATCCACATGAGCTGATTTTGTAGCATGCCTTTCTTCCTTAGTAGTGGCTGGTAGACTAAAGCAAGGTATTGCTGGACTCCAACTTCCATCAGCCCTAGCCAGCATGACCAATGGTCAGGGCTGATGGGAGTTGTAGCCCAACAACATCTTGTCAGTGTAGACAATATTGAACTAATTGGGCCAATGGTCTGAGTCAGGATAAGGTAGGTTCCTATGATCCAAGAAACTCATATGAAAACAACTAATTCAGAGCAATAATAGCAACAATAAACTCTACAACAGAGTGTTGTATTTAAGAAATAAGATTTACTAGACCGGTCAAGGTTGTTGGCAGTCTAAGAAAATGATACCTAGAACAGAATATATGTGTGATGGTTTCAAATTATTTTAGCTGTGTACTCCCTTTGCTTTCTGTGTCTTCAAGAAAATTAAAGAGTGAGGAATGCAAGTATATGAACAAGACTTTCAATTAGGCTGCACAGAACTAATGAGATCAGTGGGGGAAGCTGGGGCCTGTGTTCAAATCTTAACTCAAACAAGAAGCTCATTGGAAGGCTATGGTAGGCTGCATTCCCTACTTACAAAAGAGGACAACTTAACAAACTCTCACATGACGAAGGCAGTGAGGATCATAACGCTCTTTCCATTCACTAAGGTTTTGGTCCTTCGCGTATTTACTTCTGACTAAATGAGCTTCGCCTCAGGCTATACAAGTGCTATATGATAAATGAGAGTGTCAAAATATTCCTTCCCAGTGTTTGGGGGTGGTTTGGGGGGGGAATCTCTCTTTGGAGCCCTGATTTTATATGGGTTGTATGGGGGGGGGATGCTTGCTTTTTTATGGCAAGGCCTCTAAGCTGCCCATAGCATCATGGCCGCTGTCACC